CCTATCAAGTTTTTGTCTCCTATCTATATTCTATATCTATTCCACATGATTGGAGAGATGTCTTGACAGATCCTAAGTGGAAGGCAACTATGATAGAAGAGATGAGATCTCTATAGAAGGATGACACATGAGGGCTTGCAGTTCTCCCTAAAGGGAAGAAAACAGTCGGGTGTAAATGGGTGTTTACTATAAAGTATATGGCAGGTGGATCAACAGAAAGGTACAAAACTAGATTAGTGGTCAAGGGTTTTACACAGACCTATAACATATACTATCAAGAAACCTTTGCACCCGTAGCCAAGATGAACTCCATTAGAGTGTTGCTCTCATTGGCAACAAATTTGGGGTGGTTTGTTCAACAACTAAATTTGAAAAACGCCTTCCTTTATGGTGATTTGGAGGAGGAAGCATATATGGATGCTCCTCTTGATTTTTCATCTCCTGTAAGGAAGATTTGTAAGTTGAAGAAGTCGCTTTATGGGTTGAAGTAATCGCCCAAAGCATGGTTTGAGAGATTCAGTAGAGCTTTGCAGAAGTATGGGTATAAACTAAGTCAAGCTTATCACACTATTTATTAAACATAGAAAAAAGAAGGTTACTGTACTAGTAGTACATGTAGATGATATTGTCATAATAGGTGATAATATTGAGGAAATGCATGCTTTGAAATCATCTTTGGCCAAAGAGTTTGAGATAAAGGACTTGGAAAACCTAAAATATTCTCTTGGGATAGAAATTGTAAAATTAGAAAAGGGAATCTTTATTTCTCAATAGAAATATATTTTAGACTTGCTGAAGGAAACAAGAATGCTTGGTTGCAAGCCTTGTGATACCTCAATTGAGCCAAATCATAGACTTGTTGAGAGTAATGATCCTATGGTTGATACAGGTAGGTACCAGATACTTGTGGGCAATTTTAATTTATCTTTCACATACACGACCAAACATTGCTTATGCTATTAGTGTGGTGAGTCAATATACGCATTCTCTACGATCGTCCCATTTAGAGGCAATCTTTAGAATTCTTCGTTATCTGAAGTCAGCACCTGGGAGAGGTCTTTTGTTTACTAGACATAATCATTTGCGGCTAAAGTCAAATACAAATGCAGAGTGTGTTGGATCAATTACAGATAGACGATCTACTTCTGGATATTGTACCTCCGCCGAAGGGAACTTGGTGAGTTGGCATAGTAAGAAACAATCAGTTGATGCGCAATCTAATGCAGAGGCCGAGTTTAGATCTATGGCACATGGGACGTGTGAGCTTTTGAGGTTACAAATTTTGATGATAGAACTTGGTGTCAATTTTTGTGGCCCAATGAAACTTTATTGTATTAACAAAGCAACTATCAGTATTGCAAATAATACAATTCAACATGATCGNACACCTGGGAGAGGTCTTTTGTTTACTAGACATAATCATTTGCGGCTAAAGTCAAATACAAATGCAGAGTGTGTTGTATCAATTACAGATAGCGATCTACTTCTGGATATTGTACCTCCGCCGAAGGGAACTTGGTGACTTGGCATAGTAAGAAACAATCAGTTGATGCGCAATCTAGTGCAGAGGCCAAGTTTAGATCTATGGCACATGGGACGTGTGAGCTTTTGAGGTTACAAATTTTGATGATAGAACTGGGTGTCAATTTTTGTGGCCCAATGAAACTTTATTGTATTAACAAAGCAACTATCAGTATTGCAAATAATACAATTCAACATGATCGAACCAAGCATATTGAGGTAGACAGGCATTTCATTAAAGAGAAGCTTAGCTCTGGTCTTATTTGTACTGCATTTGTAAAGACCTGGAAACAACTTGCTGATATCTTGACCAAAGGGGTGTCGAGGAAGGTGTTTCATAACATTTTAGGCAAGCTAGGCATGTATAATATATATGCACCGACTTGAGGGGGAGTGTTAGAATATATGGAAAAACTAAATAAAGGGTATTCTTGAAATATTCTAGATAAACCTAATATTATAAATAAAGAGGAATGTGGGAATGACAGAAAGTCATACTACAAGTTTCAACAGGCACTCTATTTCTCTTCCTTCTTTCTTTCTTTTTCTTGTAACCCTAATTTGTGATTATAATATATTTCAACTAAATCAACAAGCGTTCGTTCTAGGAGAGCGTGATCTAAACTCATATTGGAAGAACCGATGTTCTACGAGTAGAACGGCGAGAGGGAGTTCACTGAAAGGAGTACGAGACAAGAGACTAGCTTATATCTAGTATGGCTAGAAGGGTCTGTAAGTCTTTGCATTTGTACTTCCAATTTCAATAGTGAAGGATTTAGGCGGGACTTAATCCCATAGTTTTTTGCCCTACTTGTGGTTTTTTATTGGAAAAAATCGATGTGTCTTCTTGCTTGCTTATTGTTTTAATGCGATTTAGTGATTGAATGGTGATCGCTTGTTTAGGTCAAGATTTGAATTTTAATTGCAATATTGGATTGACTTTTAGTTGAATTGAAAAATTGAGACAAGACCTATCCAACCCCCTCCCCTCTAGGTCCTGTCAGGGTTTACATACACATCATACACCACAATCTCATAGGTGACTCATAAATATAATTTAGCCTAATCATTTCGTANAGTCAGGGTTTACATACACCACAATCTCATAGGTGACTCATAAATATAATTTAGCCTAATCATTTCGTAAAACAAAATGTATTCCACAATACTCTAACTATACAGCCACACATTCAATCCTCCATGCCAGGAGAATTCAAGTTTTACAAGATCCGGAATACATAGGTCATAAGGATTAATTGATAAAGCATTCAACAGATGAAATACCCAAATCTATGAAATATGAGAACACATCTCAACCGACCTATTAGAATCATATAGGCATCTCCATCATTGCAGTGATATAACATAGGTTTGGCAGAATGACACCATAAAATCGTCAAAACAGAGCCCATAGGTAAGGACACTGTACCATATAATGCAGCTCATAAGATAGAAGTATCAGTTCTCACAACCCTGGCATGGAAGACAAATAATACAGACAATAACTGAAATCTTGAAACTTACAAAAAAGTCATGAATGTAATTGTATCTAAATCACAGACTTGATATGGGAGCACCATCCAAAATGAGACCTAAACCCTTCAGTTTTACACCTCCATTAACAGAGAAAACGTTCAAGAAGAGAAATGTGTTGATTCATTGATGTGCTCATGGAGATTGTGATTGAACATAAGAGGTTTTTGTTGTATTGGGATGGGAGTAATAGCAGGTTTTCGTTAGATTGGGATGGGAATAATAGCAAGTCTGTTCGCATTATGGTTGTAGTCTGTACTAAGGGATGTTTGTTCCAGACTTGGAAAGAAATTCAAAAGGCTTTAACTAAATTGCTTTGTTTTGATGTAGAATTGAGAGCTTTCCAGACAAACACAACAGTTTTTTCCAGTAAAAATAGCAAAGAAGTTGAGGAGGTTTACAGGATTGAAATACGCTACCTGGAAGGTTCAAGTTAAGCAAATGGCGTCATGAATCGAACAAGGATCGCAGCAAAGTTTCCTTTCTGGGAGGTTGGATCGCGATTGAGCGGTTGGCATTTCATTTGTGGCACTGGGAAGTATTTCAGAAAATAGGTGATTGGTGTGAAGGTTTAATCAAAGTTGATAAACAAACTGTGAACCAAGAAAATCTGTTTCATGCGCGAATCCGTGTTCATAAACCTGCTTCAGGATTCCTTCGGACACCTTTGAATGTTTTCTATAACCAGAAATTATTTCAAATTAGAATTAGGGTTTTTGCAGACCTTGGAAGGTACAGTCGTGAAGAAGGGAGAGGAAATTTGGGGAGAGTAGTACAAAAATTGGGTACACTAGTTGTGAGGTTGAAGATGAAGTGAGGGATTACAGCGGTGTTCGTGGCAGATGGAGAGAAAATGAGGTAGGGAGCCGTCTTGCAACTGTGGGTGATGGAAAGAGGAGGGAGACAGTTAAGGAATTGGGAGTAAAGGTCATTAATCACGAAAATAATGGAGTTAACTGTTCCAATTCCCATGATTCTGGCAAACACAATCAGGATTTGAAATTCAAAAACAAAATTAGCATGGCAGTGGGCCCTGCTAATGGTTTGGTGGGCTAAACTAATAAACAAAAGGGTGATGATAAAATGGGCTTTAAGGATAAGGCCCATCAACATATTGGGTTTGATGGGTTTAAAAGGAAGTCCATTAAGGATGGTCCCTCTAATGTCGGCCCTTTTGTCTCAAAAAGGCCCGAGAATTTTAGGTGGAGAAAAGCCCAACCCCAGCAATTAACTAGGGGTGCAACTTGGGCAAGCTAACCCAAATTCAACCCGAGCCTAACCCAAAAAAATAGGGCTTGAGCTGAGGTTTTTAATATGTGAGTTAGGCCTGGGTTGAAAAACACCATCCTGAATTAAATTTGGGTTAAGTACTCGGGTTAAGTACTTGGGTCAACCGGTTCAACCCGAACCCGATTTATATATATATGAAGCATAATAACTAGGGTTCACCATTCTTTTTTGTCGGCGCCTCCTTCACTCTCTCGGTCAGTCTCCCTCACTCTCTCACTTAGCCTCTCCCTCACTCTCTCACTCACTTCCTCTGCCACTTTCTTAGTCTCTCACTTCCTCTACCACTCTCAAACTCTTTGCTTTGTGACTACTGTTGATCGGCTGCTGTTGCTGTTGATTTGAGCCACTTCATTTGCTCTCTGTTGTTGATCTGCGTTGAAAATTAGGGTTTTGTTGATTGGGGTTAAGAAGTTGAAAACAAAGCATGTTGATTTGCTTTGAGAAATTTGGGGTCATCTTCAACTCTCTCTCTCTATCTCTCTCTCTCTCTCTCGGATTGAAAATGGGTTCAAAATACATATATACACACACACACACACACAAGTATATTTGTATATATGTATGACTTTATGAGATTAAAATTGATTTTGTTGTTAGAGAAAACCCTTTAGTTTTTATTTTTTCAATTGATTAATTTTGAAGTTTATACAAAAGGTATGTGGGTTAATGAAATGAATCATATTACTCTCTGGATTGTGATTACTCGTTGAAGTTTCATCTTATTTGGCTGATGTAAAAAACCCTAACTTGAACTCAACCCGAATTTCAATCCAAAATTAGCCAGAATTAAATAACCTGAATTCAACTCGAGCTCGCCCGAATTCAACTTGGATAGTTCTCGAGTTGAATACCTCGGGTTGAGGTCAAGTTAAGGTTAGAGTTAGGGTTAAAAATTATATACTTAGGATTGGGCTAAGGTTGACTCCTCAACCCACCCAAGTTGCACCCTTACAATTAACCAAGTTGGCTTCTAAGCCAAAACCAAAGCCTACAACTGTGCTCTTTGATTCGCTGGAGGCAAAGATGGACAACAAAGCAAACGACGAAGGCGAAAGGGATGCATGCAAATTCTTTAGGAGTGAGGATGAACTCCAACCAATGAAGATTTTTGAGAACTTGAAGAATTTTGATGACATCTCTTTTGGGGTGAGGTCCGAGAAAGACTACGAAGATTTCAGGGTGAATAAGGGAGTTGGGGTTGAGGATAACCCGGGAAAGTCAATTATGGAGATGGAGAAAAGTTTTTTTGACGTGAACAACATTGGGTTATATACGGAGGGCAGCGATTGTTCAACCAATTGTGCTGATCAAGCATCTGATTATTGCAAAATAGGTAAGGATAGAAATATCGATGCTGATGAGGCAATTTGTGCTATTGCAATCTATTTGATGCAAACGTTGAAATGAGTCTTATTTCTGCTAATGTTGTTGACTATAAGCTTGGAGAGAATGTGGGTGTTACTACCCNGTTATTGCAAAATGGGTAAGGATAGAAATATCGATACTGATGAGGCAATTTGTGCTATTGCAATCTATTTGATGCAAACGTTGAAATGAGTATTATTTCTGCTAATGTTGTTGACTATAAGCTTGGAGAGAATGTGGGTGTTACTACCCAACAGTTGAGTAAATCTTTTGTTTCAGTTTTTCTTATGCACACCTTTGCACAATGTACCATAACCTTGAAGTGTCTTTAGTGTTGGGTAACTTTGAGGAGGGTTTGCATTCTATTGGTTTACGAAGTATGCCAATAGAGCCTAGGATGGGTAGTAATCTTAAAGTGAATGTTAGGGGGGTGCTAGATCTGGGGAGGGATGGGGCCTTCTTGTTATTATGGGTAATCGCTCCNTGTCTTTAGTGTTGGGTAACTTTGAGGAGGGTTTGCATTCTATTGGTTTACGAAGTATGCCGATAGAGCCTAGGATGGGTAGTAATCTTAAAGTGAATGTTAGGGGGGTGCTAGATCTGGGGAGGGATGGGGCCTTCTTGTTATTATGGGTAATCGCTCCGTCTGTTTAGGAAAGGAAAACCAGGTTGTGTCAAATGATCTTGGACCCACCCGGGTAAATGGGGATTCTCCTGAGAAGTGTTTGGCTTTGAGTTGTAAGGGATGTCTAGTGTCAATCCTAGAGGTGTTTGGCTTTGAGTTTAAGGAATGTCCAATGTCAATCCTAGAGGTTGAACCAAAATTGTCTTCTAGTGAGCTGCCCTTGTGTTTTGATAATGGAAATGCCATGACTAATTTTTCTCCAGGAAATTTACATGTTGTATCTAATAGGGCTATTGCATGTTATGAGGGAGATGGGACTGGGTCGAGTCTAGGGGTGGGTGAGAAGTGTGGAGGTAGCTCCACAGGTAAGGATAGGAGTGTTTTATCTGATGAGAAAAATTGGTAATTCTCAAAAAAAATTTAAGAAATATGGATTTGCCGTTAGTAAAGGGGTCCGTTAATTAAGAAACTTGCACTTCGGGCGTAAAATATGAGGCAGAATTAGTTTTGTTATGAAGATTGCTAGTTGAAACATTAGGGGGCTAAGATCTCATAGTAAAGATGTTCAATTAAAGTTCTTGTGAAAAGTGGGCAGGATATTGTCATATTACATGAATCCAAAATGGAAAACATTGATAGAAGAGTGATTAAGGATGTGTGGGGGTCTAGGTATAAAAATTAGGGTTGTTTGGTATGTGTAGTTCTCGTTGGTGTTTAGGAGGAGATTTCAATGTCATTCAATAGCCTTGAGAAAAATTGAATGGGGAAGGATTGCCAAAATTTTGAGGAATTTTGATACTTTCATTAGAGAATGTGGCCTTAGGGATCCTCCCGTGGTCAATGATACTTTCACATGGTCCAACTTTAGGAGTGATATAGTCTGCAAGATGTTAGATAGGATTTTGTTCAAAATGATTAGGAGGATTGATTTTGGGAAGGGGAGGTTAGGCAACTGGCCTTCTCTAGAGTGGTGTCAAATCATTGTCCAATTGTTCTTTGATAATTCAATAGTGAGGTTGGGTCCATGTCCTTTTAGATTTGAAAATAAGTGGGTGGAACATAAGGCTTTTAGGAGAAAAATCAAGGAGTGGTGGGGGAAAGGTAACTTTAGTGGATGGGAGGAAAATAAGTTTATGAAGAAATTTGAGCTTTTAAAACAAAAGTTTAAGGTGTGGAATAAAGAAGAGTTTTGAGATATCAATGTTACAAAGAAGAGTACTTTAGAGAGGATTGAAGATCTTGATAGGGGTTTAACTGAATGATATTTTGCAAAAAAAAAAGAAAGAATCTTCGGAATCAGTTTGAAGAGGTTGTATTTAAAAATGTGATTAGTTGGAGGCAAAAATCAAGAATTAAGTGGATAAAGGATGGGGACAATAATTCTAAATTCTTTCATATAATGGCAAATGGGAATATAAAGAAGAACCTCATTGATAAATTGGAACTTGAGGATGGCATGATTATTGAGGAGGATGAGGGTATTGAGAAAGAGATTAATAGGTTCTTTTCTAAGTTGTACGCGGGCCTAGAGTATTCGAGCCCTAGGTTGGAGGTTTAAAATTGGTGTCTTATATATGAAAGGAAAGTTAATTGGNTATTGAGAAAGAGATTAATAGGTTCTTTTCTAAGTTGTACGCGGGCCTAGAGTATTCAAGCCCTAGGTTGGAGGTTTAAAATTGGTGTCTTATATATGAAAGGAAAGTTAATTGGATGGAAAGATATTTTTGTGTTGAAGGAAACTAAGGTTGCAGTGTTTGAGTGTAGCAAAGAGAAAGCTCCAGAGCCGGATAGGTTCACTATGGTTTTATTTTATGAATGTTGGAATAAGGTGAAAGATGATTTGATGAGTCTTTAAGGAATTTTTTTGATAATGGGGTGATTAATGCAATTAAAAATGCTACATTCATATGCTTAATCCCGAGAAAAAGAGAATTCATTGAAGATTAAGGATTTTTGGCCAATAAGTCTCGTTACAAGTTTATTCAAAATCATTGCAAAAGTGTTATCACTAAGGATTAGGGAAGGATTAAATGACAACATTTCAAGGCATCGAGGTGCTTTTATTAAAGGAAGACAAATTTTGGATATGGCATTAGTGGCCAATGAGGTGATGGAGGATTACGGGGATAGAGAATTGGAGGGTATTGTGTTCAAAATAAACTTTGAGAAGTCTTATGACCATGTGGATTGTAATTTATTCGATTTTGTTTTGGAATATAAAGGCTTTGGGTTGAGATGGAGCAAGTGGATTCAAGGGTGTTTGCAATCCATGAATTTCTCGGTCATGTTGAATGGTAAGCCTAGGAGTAAGTTCAACGTATCAAGGGTCTTAGACAAGATGATCCTCTTTCACCATTTTTGTTTATTTTAGTGGGGGATGCATTGCGTAGGCTTGTGATGAGGGCTTAGGAGTGTCACTTGGTTGAGGGCTTTATGATAGGGAGGGATAGAAAATCTATTTCTCACTTGCAATTCCCTAATGACACCATCTTTTTTTCCTCAAGGATGAGAAGTTATTGAATGTAAAAAAGATTATTGATGTTTTGGGTTTGGTTTCTGGACTTAAAGTTAATATGGAGAAAATTTTGATTGTTGGAATAAACTTTAGTCGAGATAAGTTGGATAGGTTGGCATCAGTCTTGGGATGTTCATTGGGAGGGTGGTCTCTTAAGTATTTGGATTTGCCTTTAGGTGGTAATCCATTTTCTATCTTTTTTTGGGATCCGGTCATTCAGAAAGTAGGAAAAATTTTAGATGGGTGGAAGAAGACTTACATTTCTAGAGGAGGTAGAGTTATATTGGTTCAGTTTGTATTGGCAAGTATTCCGATATATTTTTTGCCTCTTTTCAAGATGTCACGTGGGGTGTGGCAAAGAGGATTGAGGGAATGATAAGAGGTTTTTTATGGGAAGGAAAGGGGAGCAGAAAAAGGATCACCTCATTTGTTGGGAGGTGGTGTCTAAGCCAAAATCAAAAGGGGTACTTTCAATGGGAACTTGGTGACTACAAAAGACGTTTTGGTCAGTAAATGGCTTTAGAGATTTACGAATTTTGGTTATTAAAAGTAAGTATGGTTTGCCGGCTAATAGGTGGGATGCTATTGGGATTAATAGGTGAAGCTACTGAAATCCTTGAAAATTCATTTCTCAGTGGTCATCTAATTTTTCTCAAAATGTTAAGTTTAATGTGGACAATGGGTTGAGAATTCGTTTTTTAAAAGATATTTGGGTGGGGGAGTCATCTTTCTCAAGTTCATTTGCTCGTTTATATAGACTTTCTTCTAGTCATGATCATAATATAGCTTCGTTGCTAGAGGTGGCTGGAGCACAACAACCTAGCTCAAACCTACTTAAACAATCGGATTCTAATCCAATTGCTTGAGACTTTATTTTTCATAGAAATTTAAATGATAAAAGTCTTCGGAGTTAGTTTTTCCTCATTCTTTGCTTAATCCTATGACTTTGAATCAAGATTCTGGACAAAAAATATTGGATCATCGACCCTTCGAGGTCTTTCTCATGCAAATCATTTTTCGATTCTTTGATTGATGATCTTTCCATTCCTCTTTTTTATCCGACATTGAAGATTTGAAAGGTTAAGGTGCCTCCAAAAGTGCAAGTATGTACATAGATGATTGCTCATAGTAAGGTTAATACTATTGATATATTACAAAGGAGGAGGCCTTACACTAATTTGCCCACAATGGTGTGTTATGTGTAGAGCAAGTTGTGAGAGTGTGGGCTATTTATATTTACGCTGTGCTACTGCATTATTCCTTTGGAATAAACTATTCCAGATGGTGGGAGTTCACTAGTATTCCCCGCATTCAATCTCCCCTACGTTTTCGATTGAATATAAAGGGTTGGGTNGCTATTTATATTTACGCTGTGCTACTGCATTATTCCTTTGGAATAAACTATTCCAGATGGTGGGAGTTCATTAGTATTCCCCGCATTCAATCTCCCCTACGTTTTCGATTGAATATAAAGGGTTGGGTGGTGGTGAAAAGGGTGTTGTTCTTTGGAATTGTGCTTTCTTTGCAATTGTGTGGGTCATTTGGATGGAAAGAAATGCTAGAATTTTTTAATATAAAGAAGATGTGAAGGAAGGGATGTGGGATCGAATTTATTTCCTTGCATTTTTTTGGGCCACCATTACAAAGAAGTTAAAAAGTATCCCTCTTTTTGGTATTCCTTCAAATTGGATTGCATCATGTAGGAGATAATTTTTCTCTTGATGGCTGTTTTGTTTTGTTTTATTGTTCTTTTTATGTATGTATGAGGATTGGACTACTTGTTCACCCTTACTTGCACTTTTTCTGGTCATTTCAATGAAGTGTTTGTTTCTTATCAAAAATAAATAAATGCTGACAGTTAGACCAATTATAGCAATAAGAACATTGTCATTATCCTGTAGGGACATACAACCTTCATAATTGCAGGAGTAGTCATTGTTGTTCAATTGGATGCTTACATGGAGGCCACCAATTCTTTTCTTTTATTGGATTATGAAAGTCTACTGGTAGCCCGGCTGTAGGTTACAGATCCATATTAAATCACCAACAATAGTTAACTGGATATTACCCTCCACACAAGGCACACAACTGGAAGAGCAATTGTAAGACTACCAATAGCGTGTCAAAAACTCCAAATAAATTCACCTGGGAAATATGTGGAAGGCAACGTGGGCTTGACAAGATCCGTTTTACTCTAGGTGTGGGGGTAACTATCTCTCCAGCATCATCTATATCTGAATGTGCAGATACCATGCTGTGTAATATGGATAATGCTGCCTCCCCTACCTGGATACAGAATCCACCTTTTAGCACTTATCATGAACATAGCAAGTTGGGTGGGACAAAAGTTACATTCATGCCATTAATATAGAAACTATAAGAAATAACTATGAACAAAACAAGTACACCTATCTATAAATAAAATCCATAAGGAAATAGACATCAAATATGTATTACCAAGAAAATTTAACAAAAAGGTCCATATTAACACAAATACATTAGCAATAACTACTTCATACCCACATGAATTTGATCATTGGAGAGAGAGAGAGAGAGAGAGCTTCTTAAATAGTTCCTACACATCATCATGGACTCCAAGAATCTGAGAGAGAATTAGACAAATAAAGAATCAAAGAGCATTTCACCAAAAACTGTTCCAAAGTTCTAGAGCCCATTTCAATTCAATCCAGTGAAAGCTTTGTTTCAACTCCTGCTAAACGAATCCTATTTCAGCATATTGTTGTATCTAAAGCCAGATACTTTATGAAACCAGCAGCTACACATCTTACTCAACTTCTCAATTGATATTGAATGTTGATCTTCCCCTTTTCCTAGAATTCCCACTAATGATGATTGCTTCATCCTTCCCCACTGGCACAATTATTAGTGTTTTTTCCTTAGATGAGCCCAAAGCATCGTACTAGTGCTACTTCTATTGTCTCCTGTTTGTCTCTAAACTAGCTTTTATAGTTGAAACACTGATTCACATGCATACACATGCGGTGGATCCCATGCAAACACACCCCAATTATATGGTGAGAAAATTTTACTCAGAAGCAAAATCAAGTCCCATATGAAGGAGAAAAAAGGCAGAAAACTTCAAAAATATAACAAATCATGTTACTGAACTCTGTTGCTCATGACACTTATATTTTTCAGACTTGCATTCCCTGTGAAACATCAAAATACCTGGATTGGAGTGAGAACAGGAACCCGAACAGCAAGTGCCCAACGAAGTTCCCTGATGTCTCGTAATTTCTTCCAGTCTGGCATCCCAGAAGCCCTGCACCTGGTCGTCCAATCAATTGCTTTTTTTGACCAGAACCTTCTGATAGCATCCTTCTCTACTGGTCCAACTTGTGCACCGTCATTGTCAAAAAACATCCATTCCTTCAGTGGTTCCGTGAAAGCAGTAGCAGCTATCAAGTTAGATTGCAAAGGGATAGCAGTTCTTTCTGCAGCTTCATGAACTGCTGTCAGCAAATCAACACCCAGAACACATCCTCCAACCAAGACGCAAGCCTCTAAATTTGATAAGACCTTCATTAAAACCTGCAGAAGCAGTGAACATACTGTAATAACACTAAGTGTCAGGACCAGAAATAGAAATGCATCCCTGATAGTGTCCAAAATATTTTCCATCCCATTGACAACAGGATATTTATTCAGATGTATATGCTGATGAATAGGGCCACCTTAACACAGCTTAATCTCAACCAAATCTGATTTAAAAAGTTAGTTCGCACTGGCTAACAACTTTATTGTACTAGTTTAGGTAATCACAGTCACATCATAGACCTGCTACAAAAAAAAAAGGATGGCCCTAGATTTGTCAGGCTTACCAGATGTTAAAAGAAATAGACAGACAGTATGTGTACATTTTTTGCCTAGAGGTAACCAAGTGAAAATACACTTTGGGACTTCCTCATTTCAGCAAAGAAAGAGAAAAGTTGCCACCATCAAGTTCCGAGAACAATGGGTTCAGGGCCTTCAGGCAGCATATGTCGCAGGAAAAAAAACAAGACTTTCATAAACCAACTAATTTGCATTTTGTAAAATTAGGAACAAAGTATTGAAATTGAAATTGCATTTCATCCACCAAGATTACTACTAGTCTTGTGAAAAACCAACTGCTAAGGTACTCTTGGAATGTCATAGACACCAATTCCTGTTTCAACTGTGTCAAGTAGAAAAAGTCTGTACGGCATATGCGAAGCACCATACCCACTAAATCTACTAATTCATTCAGAAAGCCATTCTAGAAGTAACAAATAGTGTGATGTAGGAACAGTTCTTCTAGTAACAAGAATATCTAAGCAGTTGTGCCTAGATTTCAGTTCCATCTGGGCACTGAGCAAAACAGGAGCAAGAGGTTGAGGGTAAGGATGGGTAAGTAGAAGTACCGACAGACTTTTTGTGCACTTGTTGGGGGAGAAAGCAGAAAGGGGCAAATAATTTCTACATCAATTAATGTACAATCTAAGAAAGCTTTATGGAGATCCCAGAGAGCATGCAATTCACCATATAGTTTTAAACGTTATAGCATAATGTGACATCTTTAATCCCACATAAAGATAAGGGTAATCCATCAAATTTTGAACTTCTATGGAGCCACAGTTTTGTAGACAATGGCGTAAGACAAAACATTTTTACCTGTCATGCATAATAGCATATAGTTGGGTTATTGATATTTATAATCAGAACAATATTAAATCAGTAAGAAGGCAAGAAAGCCCGGGCAGGATCATTGTGCGGACACACAAGCTTAAGAATGTAGGTTTGCCTTTGAGGGCAGCCCAATCAACCCCTCCTAGCTCCTCAGTGATTAGTTAATGAGGACCAACCCTTGGTCATGAGCTTTGATGGTCGGATGGCGAGAATCAGTAAGTTGAAATAGCAAATAGCAAGTGAAATTTAAAGTGGTCCAACAATATAGGCAGATTAGCACAGTCGAGCAAAGAAAACAATAGCTATTAAAAAATTGGCAAATAGTGGTTCAACCAGGAAACTTAGTACTATAGAGAAAATATGCATTGTAATTGTCCATAAAGACATGAAACAACAACTAATGACAAAAACTGTTTGGCGACTGGAAAATTACTGTTCTTAATCGAGACATATAAGGAGTACACCTTAAGAACTGAGGCATAAAAAGTTAGTATCTGCAAAGGCTTGGTTTTTGAGGCATAAGCCTAACAATACTCTTTCGTATTTTTCTATAGAGTTAAGGACTGCTCTACCTTCAGAAGAGCTTTGTAAACTCACATCCTAGATCAGCGTTGATTTTTAAAAGGAAGACAAATATCAAATACTGAGGCAACTCATTCATTAATCATGACAGAAAGAACTCAAAATTTCAATTACCTTCAAAAGAAGAAGAAGACGGTGCCTCAACGCTCTATCATCAGTCCTATCCAAGAGAACCGTAACGTGTGCGGTACCTTCAAAAGGGCCTATTATTTTATAATGTTGCTCATATACAATGGCCATTGCCCTTGCACAAAGCTCTCGGACTGAGGAGCCTCCACCTCCTCCAAAACCATCTAACCTTCCCATATCACACCAATCATCAGAAGCACCCATCTCATCAGGAACAGCCCCGTCTACAGTAAGCCCTGTGTCTGCATCACATAAGAACCGATGATACAGCGCTCTAAAGAAAGAAACTGGGTCACGCAGTGGAAAATCCTGTGCCCTCCCACTGCAGCCACTCTCAAGCAGCAATCGAAGATAATATTGACCAACACATACTTCTTTGGATAAACTAGGATACCTAACAGAAAACTCAATGTAATTCCATGATATCTGAGGCACAGTATCTTGCCCAGTCATAATCTCTAAAGTTGCACCCCCAGGAACAATATCTTCAGTGCGTTCCTTCTCAACATCCAGTTTATGCACCTCTGCCTGCAAAGTTTCTCTTAGCTCCTGCCTGGTACGCTCATTCCAGATCAAGTCAGCACGGTTGTGATCAAGGCTAAAAGCTCGCCAAAATTCAGGCCAGTTCAATAGTAGCCTACCAGATCCCACAGGAGTGTTCTCCACAACCACCTGAGCAGGAGCAGGAAGGCCCGCACCCTGGGAACTGACCACGTTGACATCAAAATCAGTTGCATTTGGAGCATTTGATTCAGCTTGCTCGTATGTATTCACTGATGGAGCATCAGGAGGAACAACAGCTACTGCATGATCACTTTGTGGAACCACTCTAGAGGAAAATTCATTCGGCAAATTTTCACTTTCCTGAACTGCCGAAGAGTGAACAGCTGGCACCTGCCCAGAATTTGGTTCTACTGCAGATTTTATATAGCTATCTGGCCCTCTGAAGGCAACACCACCTGTCTGCTGAGCTGGATCACTAGCTTCATAATTATTAATAGGCAAGGAATGCCCAGGAGATGTTATTCCTTTTTCAGTACGAATCCTCCTCTGCTGAAGTAAACGTCTCTGCCTCCTGCTCATCAAAGATACGTCCTGATTAGCTATATCTTCAGCTAGAAGCCCATCAGCACGTGTGTGCAAATAAGCAACAAGGCCAGGAGGCAGAACTCTAGATAACAAATCAAGGGCAGGTTGATAAGAATCCGCCCAGAGCGCCACAAGCTGCCGGCTAACTTCACGCCGTTCACCAGCAGGAAGGAAAAACGCATGCAACAAATGTCTCAACAAAGCACCATCACGCAGAGCAGCATCACGCATGGACTCTGCTGCAATTGCATCTTCTTCCGCAATTGTTCGCATAATAACAGCCACTGTTTCCCTTACACTTTCAGCAGGATGCCCAAACAATGCAAACAAGCGACGCTTCAAGCCAGCTACCAGACGTAATAATTCAACAAAAACTGTGTATTGAGTTGTTTCACCATGCGGTTCACATATCATTGCCTCAAGAATCTCCACAACAGACATTGATAACAAGGGCGATACAGACATTGGTTTCAACCTGTTGACTAGGATGATAAGATAACTCTGATGAGCAAATAATACAGCCTTGGTATGCATAAATGTTGCATGCCGCTCTCCCTTTGTATCAGTTAATATAGTTGTATCCCCAGGACCACCACCAATAAGTGCTGCAATAAGCCCTGCAGCTTCAGCAGCTACTCCTTCAGAACCATTTCTGAGTAAACCCATTATTCTTCCAACAGCTGCTGGAAAAGACATCACATGTGAGGCGGCACTTCTTGAAGCCAGTAATCTTCGTAAACATGCAAGGAAACCCATTACTGTTGCAGCTGCTTTGGGAGAAGGAGGTGGCAAGGGAGGGGATTCTGGAGGAAGATTGGGAGCAGCTGGAAGCATTGTAATTAAGGCCATCAAAGTCACTTCAGGTACTTCAATGCTAAGAGGCACTCCACTATATGGGATGCATGCATTGAATTCTCTTATTCTACGCCAGAGTTTGGCTCTTGATCCAGGAATGGAGCCTCCTTCAGCAACAGCATCTTTGGCAGCTGCCGCCAAATGTTTCAAATGCATGGTTGCAGTTTCCATTTCAGCATAAGATCGTTGTTGTCCTACAGGAAGCTGCTGAATTTGTAAATGAACTCTGCCACAAGCTGGATCGATTCGATGACCCGGCATCGTTAGCCTCGGCTGTACGGGTACTGGGCACTGACCCTGCATGTAAATCAGATTTTATGACACATACAGGGGCAATAATTTGTCACAAAAAACCAAAGATGCACAAATAATAATCAAGAATATAGATAAGATATATATTACCATGGATAAATTCACTCTTAAAATTGTAAAAAACTGAAATAATATTCAAGAAAGGGCACATCTACATACTTCTGTTTGCAACATGTCCCGAACCGCTGCAAGTAAGCTATCACGAGAAGTGCTTGCATAAACCTGAAATCATCACACAATCTTGATACTTTACCGCCAAAATTAAATGAGTCATTACAAATGAGTGACAAATGCTCACATGAATGGGGCATCCATCATTGAATTCAATGGCAAACATCTGGGGCTCCTCAGCGAATCGCACAAGAGCACTCACAACAGATAAAGGACGGACGATAACAGCCTGCACAAATTTCATAAAAAGTTTCAACAGATACAACATCTATAATATAAAACAGGACAGACTTCAATAAGTTCATCTGACGATGTCAAATAGACTCATCCAACACCCACTAACATCACTCTCAAAACCATTTACATTGTACCGTGCCTTCAGGCTCGAATTACCCCTAGTCATAACATATTTCAGGCAAAAATGCCGGATTTATGGGACTATGAAACAGTTCATTCAACTAATAACATTTTTCCTGGTACATACTTCTACAAAACCTTTAGGGTGCATCCACGAATAAAAATACTCTACAATTAATTTATATCTAAGCTAGTCCCCTGACAATACATTATGCATGCACATCCACGAAACAGTAACAACTTCTAGAGAGAACTAGAAGGGACAGGGATAGGGTGCAAGAAGGATTAGCTTAGCGTGTGAGGATATATATAGAGAAGAGAGAGAGAGAGAGAGAGAGAGAAAGATGACAGCACAAAAAATAAGATTCCAAGTAATAGGGGGTAAATACTACTTTTGCTNGTGCAAGAAGGATTAGCTTAGCGTGTGAGGATATATATAGAGAAGAGAGAGAGAGAGCGAGAGAGAGAGATGACAGCACAAAAAATAAGATTCCAAGTAATAGGGGGTAAATACTACTTTTGCTAGACTCCCTTTCTTGGATTTCTTAGATATTTTAGTGTTGTTGAACCTATTTTTGGCTTTGTAAGACATGTTTGGCAGGCCTTTACACTCCTTTTATTTGATGAAGTTTGATAAAAGGCACTTCTGCCACTATAGGGTCTAGAGAGGGTCAAAAGTACATAGCCTTACAGTTTGCACTAAAGTTCAATTTCATGGTGCAAACTAACATTTTGCCATATTCACAAGAAAAGTGACCCAAATTTGATAGCATCACTTCAGCTTACTTCATAGTTCTCAGGCCGCCGTTCAACAAGTGAAACCTTTGTAAGAATGAGTTGACAAGATACAGCATCACCTTGTTCCCCTAGTCCTCCTTTTGGCCCAAGTGCCAAACTCAATCCTGGAGTATTCAGCGTTCCATGGGCAGCAGATCGCAACCTTGTCACAGACCACCCAGCACAAGGAGTTTCTTCTGCCCCGACAGCCTCTTTGGCTGCATTTTCACAGGTGCTCAAATTAGACGTACATTACAAATGTATTTAGCTATGATAAGTGAATAAAACAGCTCAGAAGTCCATAAAATATGTTTATTGAAAGCTACCTCGCTGCTTTATATACTCGGCTACAGTAGGTGATTGAGAACTATCCACGGCTAATGACAATCCGACCATGGACTTTGCAGTTTTTGTCTGGAAATAAATGTGCAGAGATATCAATTAAAGCGATATTTTATAGTACATCAACCTGATTCAACAAGCCAAACTTAAAAACTATCCTGCAGGATGCATGCATTTTCAGGTACAGGGAGCAGTGCATGGGGAATTTTGAAGCACAATGCACAATGCAGCCTACGAGACATGAAATTGCAGTTATGAAGGAATGCCTGCCATACCAAATTTGATATAATAGCAGTATTTGAAGTCCCTGAAGCAGCTTGGAAAGCTTTAGATTTTCTTCCATACAAAGGACAAAGAATAAAACCTCCATTGTCAGTATTTTTCTTCCCGTAAGCATCAGAAAGAAGAATTATTGCAGGGGAATCCATGTCTCTAAAATCCAAGCACCAACGAAGGTCTCCAGATTTCAGTTCAATAAGTTCAACTCCAATATAAGTAACTTTCAATTTCTGTACAAGTCAATTGGTCACTGGTTAGTATGCAAAACAATTAGTAACTTAAACAAGAGAATTAACTGGTTAATTGGGATGACAAAAAGTTCCACAGATGCTTAGCATCAGTGTGTATTCCACTAGTTCTTTTATGTGTAGAACCATAATTAAGCAACCCCATGATGTTATCAAGTTTTTTTATTTTCGGTTGTGTGTAGGTGTTTTGTTGTTTTGTTGTTTTGGGGGCAGTGAATGCTGCAGGTTTCTGAATCCTCTTGGTTTCATGGAACCATAATCAGTTTCATTAATTGTAATAACTACCACCAACTTGTACCACATCCCAACAAACCNTGTGTGTAGGTGTTTTGTTGTTTTGTTGTTTTGGGGGCAGTGAATGCTGCAGGTTTCTGAATCCTCTTGGTTTCATGGAACCAAAATCAGTTTCATTAATTGTAATAACTACCACCAACTTGTACCACATCCCAACAAACCGAAAAAATAGATGGAGAACTGAAAATAGGTAGACAACCTCTGCTACAGTATGGGACTTCTCTCACCAATTCATGCTGACTATGATAATCATAGCAAACAACGGTACCAGGGCATATTTAAAAGAGCCCTGAACCATGCGGCAAAACGCTGGATTCTACTTCATGCAGTCCACCACCACACACAGTACACCACCATAAAAGTAGGTTACGAGTCCATGTGAAAATACCAAGGTTGTCCTTGAAACACGGCAATCTTGGCACTCATCCTGTTGATACATTGCTAGGGTTTGGCAGGCAACCTACATCTATGATGATACATTCATTTGTACCTATATGCCTCGTTAGAACTTCAAACAAAGAGCACTTACGAATAAGCTGTAAGCACCAACTCTTATGAAACAGAGCATATCCTGTCACTATATGCATGTAGGGAACTCTCACTGCCACACAAATTTCGAGGTGAGGGTATAAAAAGAAGGATAAGGGCCTTTTCTTTGCTGAAAGCTTCAATTCCTACGAGTTTCAGACTTTGAGGATTTGAAACTTCCAGAACTCTGATTTCTTGGAGATTATGATAGAAAGCAAGCATGCAAATTCTCCTTCGCATCTGTAGTAAAAAACTTCTGCAGTCTGGGCAAAAAGAAGATGTAAACTTTTTGATTCATGTTTGACATCTCCTCAGAAACAGCAATTCAGATGTGTGAAAGTTTCAGCTATAGAGATGTCAAAGGGACTGAGTTGGTTTCTAAGGGACTATTCACTTTTGTCTATCACTCGTACTTCGAACTATTTTTGACAAGCAAAAGAAGAAAGAAAGAATATTTGCAGTTTAACAGAACAACCAACAAGAAATAGAGGGATACATTGAGATTGATGAGATCATGTTGCACCGTAACCAGTACAAAACAGCAATAGTTGGCAACACATGGACCATTAGTTGAACAAAACCTGATTTTTCAATCATTTGCAGTTAATATGCCAGGGACCATTCAACATCGTCTAAGACAACAGTATTAGCCTAAGACTGATCACCAGCTACTTCTAGTATTATCATTATACTCCTTCAAAACAACTAACACTATCATTATACTCCTTCAAAACAACTAACCACAACGATTTTGTTTTGTAAATTAATCACTATGACCCGGAATAAAGATCCAAGAATTTTCAAACGAAACTATATTACCTTTTCAAAATCTTATCTGAGAGACTCAAACTCTATGGTAATAATGCCCAAAAATTAGACATTCTCAGAAAAAAAAAGTCAAGAGACTCAAGACAATAACAGGATCAGTTTTCCTATCAATAAAGGTGGGGGAAATGGTTTACTAATTCACGGGAATTGGGTTACTGTAAATCTTGTCAACAGAACAGCTAAATCTTTCCACCAGAAAATATGGAAGTCACATTCCATCACTAGACTACGGCACACATCATCCAAGGATGAATGTCATAGATTCAAAAGAATGCACAAAAATTCTACGCAAGGATCATGATCCCTCTTCTTTACCATACCCTTTTTCTCAAGCTTCCCAGTTCTTTTCCATTCTAACAACTCAAAAACAATTTAAGATGCCAAATTGTTGAAATACGTGCATATGAAGCAGTGTTATGGTTAAAAAAAAAAAAGCAGTGTTATGGTTGAAAAAAAAAAAAGCAGTGTTATGGTGACATAAAACAACTAAATTTAGCATTCAAAAATCAGTTCAAATTATATAAAAGCCCTACCAAATAATACCAACAGAGGAACATCCAAGTATACTCTTCATAACACAAGCTCCAACTATTAACACATGATAGTAAGATTATACAAATGTCAGGAAAAAAAAAACACAAACTTACAAAAGGAACCCACTCGGAAGTCCTTCTTTTCAGATGCAGCACTGGAAACTCGGCAATGGGGCCGATTCTACTCCACCTTATTTTATGCAACTCAGTCAATATACTTGCCCTATAATTGGACGAAAACTTCATCGCCTTAAATTTCCCACGGCCGTCCGTCCTCAAGCTAATATTAAACTCATTCGAATTCTCATCCCTCCCAAGAATCGGCGTCGCCCCTTCAAAATCATTCGGCACATCATACGAATTCGTTATCGATAAAGTCGATGGATCCAAAGTAATTATACTGAAATTGGATATGCACAGAATTCTTTTGTACCGCCCGCGCCACGAGTGCTTTACAACCATGTAACGGGCCAAATGTTCAGGTTCTTCAAGGGTTGGCGAGGGTGGAGCTGAGGATGGAGCGGAGGAGGAGGTTTCGGGTCGTTGTTGGTGGTGATCGGGGGAGGAAGCATGGCGGCTGGCGAAGTCCATTTGGGGAAGGTAGTGGAGAGAGAAGGGATGGGGTGGACTAGGGCGGAGAAAGAACCATAATCCCGATGAACCGGCCGGCGATGCCGACGACGGTCTTTGTCGAGACTGGTTAGCACCCAGCGCTTCAAATTGTTGGCGAAGAGCCTTAAAGTTCCACCTCTCAGCAATTTTCGAAAAGCTTCAATAAGTTAAACCCCAATCGTTCACCAAAGATTGTTCAATTGATGCCAGTATTGTGACTGCAAAGCTTCAATCAAACCCTGACTAACAAAACAGAATCTTTTCATATAAATTCTCAGAAATTTCCAATCTATATGTGCAATAATTTGCACATATCACTATTGTAATTGGAGTTGAAACCCTACCATTGATCGAAGATTGTTCTTCGATTGATCCCAGAATTGGTACTGCAAAGCTTCAATCAAACCCTAACTAACAAAACCCCAATCTTTCCATCTAAATTCTCAGAAATTTCCCATATGCGCGTGCAATTTTATGCACAAATAGCTATAGCTATAGAGTGTGTAAATTGTGTAGGAATTAATTGAAGACTGTGCGAATAATTTAGATTCGATTTGGATCGACAAGGAGGGAGAACTGTGAACGAGGTCGATCAACTGTGTATGAGAGAAAGAAAGGGTCGATCAATTGTGTGTGTATAAAAGAGAGAGAGAGAGAGCCATGGCCTATCCCGGATGGAGTGCCAGCTCCTCTGCTGAGAGGAAAAAACGCTGTTAAAAAAAACGACGCCGTTTTGTTTCAAGTTTTCCACAGTAACTCTTGAGCCACAAAAAACGACGTAGTTTGGTATAAATGTCTTAAATTTGAAAAACTTTCAAGTCCTTTTGTCATCTTGATAGCTTTCCCAAATTTTTTTTTTGGCCCCAAAACTTTTTGATGGCACCATGTGATTATGATTTACGCGTTTGTGAGCTAGCAAAGATGCCTTATTGGAACTTTCCCCCCAAAAACAAAAAAAAAAAAAAAAAAAATTGCCTTTCTTAGATGGCTCCCTCTAATTGTAAAATTTTCTTTTTTCCCTATTAATCATAATTGATGTGGTTGTTTTGCCTAATTCAATCTATCAATAGTGGGGGTTACTAAATGACCTGANAAAAAAAAAAAAAAGATGCCTTTCTTAGATGGCTCCCTCTAATTGTAAAATTTTCTTTTTTCCCTATTAATCATAATTGATGTGGTTGTTTTGCCTAATTCAATCTATCAATAGTGGGGGTTACTAAATGACCTGATGATCATTATTCAATTATTATATCTTAAGGTCACAAGTTTAAACCTTGTTATTCTTTCTTATACTCGTGCTTTTAAAAAAACGACCTATCAACAGTGTAGTGTGAGTAGGATGGCCGGATCCATGGGTCAATGCGAACCAAGCCATCTAGAAAAAATGTGGCCCATGATCTAAATTTTGAATTTTAAAATTTTGACCTTTTTTTAAAATATTTTCAATTTTTTGTGGACTATATTTCCTTTATTGGGTCGGCCCTTCTGCATCAACCCAAAAGTGATCCAATCCCTTTTTCATAGGGCAAAGGGTCTTGGTTCATAGCTCGACGGCCACTGAGCTTTTNGATGATCATTATTCAATTATTATATCTTAAGGTCACAAGTTTAAACCTCGTTATTCTTTCTTATACTCGTGTTTTTAAAAAAACGACCTATCAACAGTGTAGTGTGAGTCGGATGGCCGGATCCATGGGTCAATGCGAACCAAGCCATCTAGAAAAAATGTGGCCCATGATCTAAATTGTGAATTTTAAAATTTTGACCTTTTTTTAAAATATTTTCAATTTTTTGTGTACTGTATTTCCTTTATTGGGTCGGCCCTTCTGCATCAACCCAAAAGTGATCCAGTCCCTTTTTCATAGGGCAAAGGGTCTTGGTTCATAGCTCGACGGCCACTGAGCTTTTGGGCCAGTCCATGGGCAGGTTGTGGACCCTTACCTTATTCACCATTTTCCCTTTCATGAAAAATTGAAAAAATAATGTTACGCTAATCAAATTTTGAGATCAAATTTAGAACTCAAATAACATGGCAACATATTATTTAGAGTTTTTATTGGGCCCCAAATAATATGACACCAAATAAAGAAATCAAATCAATTGTCATGTNAAATAATGTTACGCTAATCAAATTTTGAGATCAAATTTAGAACTCAAATAACATGGCAACATATTATTTAGAATCTTTATTGGGCCCCAAATAATATGACACCAAATAAAGAAATCAAATCAATTGTCATGTCAGGATGTGTTTGATAACCTAACTTAAGTCTTAAAACTTAACACTTTCAATGCTTAATGAATTAAACTCGTTTGACAACCCAATATTACAACTCCTTAATAAAATAAGTGACACCTAAATGTAAGGCAAAATTTTAAGTAGCTCTTTACCTACTTAATATTGAAGACTGAATACGCTCAGCAACTAGGTTTTTTAATAAAATTTTATTTAACAAATTTATCTCAATAGTTTCACATCCCTATCACATATCTCCTTCATCGCGTTTGCGTCTTCTCCACAATCTCGAAATTCTTCGTTGCCTCTGTTAGCGCCATCCAACAAACACAGGTATGTTCTTATCTTTTTCCTCCATTCTTCCTCTTTTCTTCTTGATACAACAACACACGAGCAAATATGGAATATGCAAGCCTTTGCCCAACCGAAAAATAAAAAATAAAAAATCAGGAGACGATGAGAGGAGAGGTTTTCACACACCGACTACCCAATAAAAAAAAAAATTCACCGATTGTCCCCCATCATCGATAGCCTCAATCCTAAAATACCCAGCCCATCACCGACAGCCTCACCCACAAAACACCCAGCCCATCTATTTTGGTCCACATGTTTTATGTTATGGTGGTGGTGTTTGTTTTTATTATTGAGTGTGTTTTTGCTGTTTTAAGTTTGTTCAATTTTGGAATTCATTTCTTTTGTTTGCATGTTGTCTGTTTGATATGTTGCTTCAAAGAAAATACACAAGTGTGTTTGTATCCAAAATTTTGACAATACAGTGTGAATTGTGGTTCTGAATATGTTTTATTTGATAAGTATTGATGTGTGTTGGTGTATGACAAACAAACCTTACATATCTTGTTGCTCTTTTTTTTTTTTAGTTATTGGTTAATTGCCTTGTATTCTTTAATTCTTGTAATCATCAATTTTTTTGTATACTAGTGGGTCACGACAATAATTTGACAATGTTAAACAACATCATATAGACTAATATTTTGTTAAACGATGGTTATGTAGGGATGACTTCTAATGATGGTGCTAGAGCAAATTGGAAGGATCCAGATTTGCTTAAAATCTTTATAGATTCGTGTTTNCATATAGACTAATATTCTGTTAAACGATGGTTATGTAGGGATGACTTCTAGTGATGGTGCTAGAGCAAATTGGAAGGATCCAGATTTGCTTAAAATCTTTATAGATTTGTGTTTGCAAGAATCATCTGATAAAGGAAGAAATGGAGGTAGCCTGAAAAAGGAATCTTGGAATTATATGAGGATAGTTTTACAAGAGCGGAAGAATGTTGACTTCTCCCATAAACAATTGAAGAATCAGTGGAAATATCTAAAACCAAAATATGGAATATGGTCAAAAATAATATCAAAAACTGAAAATGGTTATGATCCATAAACAAATACTATAAATTGGAGTTCAACAAAATGGGGAAGAGTATATAAAAGTATTACTTTATTCATTGTTAATTATTCTTATAGAACTATAACACAAATAATTCTTGAGCTTTTTTATATTTTTATGTCACAGACTAATCCAGATGCAAGGCAATTTCGCTATAATGGACTACAATATGCAAATAAGTTAAAAGTTTTGTTTAATGGTTTTAGAACAATTGGAAAAAATTCATGGGGTCCATCGAATGAAGGGTTGCCAACGGATATGGTCGACTCACAGTCACAAACACCGATTAATTTTGACGTTGAATCTGTTGAGATACCTTCTTCTCCAAAGGATGTGACAAAACAAGACAATAAACGTCAAAAGTAAAGTATACATAGTGACCTTGATGAACAACTATTTGAAGCTCTTAAGACATTACAAAATGTTGACGGACCAAATATAGAAGGCAATCGTATTTTGGATGAGATGCAGCTTTTTGAAATGAGTGATCCATTGTATTCTGTTGCGTGTAATATTTTTTGTGAGAGTAAAGCACATAGGGAGCAATGAATGTTATTACGTCAAAAACCAAAAGTAGTTAGAAAGATGTGGATAGAAATGAATGGCAAAAAACTAAAGTTGCTTTGAATTTTAGGAATTACTAGAAGTTATGAGTATTATTTTTATATGAAGAATTTATGACTATTTTGAATGTGAAAGATTGTTTAAATTTATTTGTTTTATAATTTTTGCTTAAGTATGTTATTGTTGAAATTATCTGTAGTGGTTTTTGAATGTTAATTATTTTGGAAGTTGACATACATAGTTAAATTGTCTTATATTAGACTAATTAGATTTTATTAATATTGTCCAACAACATGTTGGCTGAAAAACAGAAGCATACATTGAAGGTTGTTGTAACTTCTTTGATATTCAAAATATTGAGGAAACAATGTGTTGCACGGAGGCCAAACATTGATGGTTTGCTTCATGGGTCTGGATATTTAAATGAAATACTTGATAAAAATTCAAGTCATTGTCGAGAGATGTTAAGGATGAAAAAAAAATCTTTTATAAGTTTATGTGGTCATTTTCGAAATAAATGGTGGCTTGAAGATAGTCGTTACGTATCCATAGAAGAGAAGATGACAATGTTTCTCATAACATTAAAGTCATAACATATAAAATCGTTTTGTGAAACGAAGATTTAATCATTCAACACAAACAATAAATAAATACTTCCATGAAGTATTATATGCGATGCTCCATTTTTCAAAATAGATGATAGTCTCAACAACTACGAATTTAGTTAATCACATAAGTCATCATCGTCGACTTAGAAGAATATTTAAGGTATTTTTTGTTTTATTTTAACTTCATAGGATATATAATGATTTACAGCTTCTTAAAATTCTAACATTTATACTAACATATTTATTTTTGAAAGGGTGCGGTGGGTGCACTTGATGGAACTCTTATTTCTGTTGTTATACCATCGGACAAACAAGTTTCATACATAGGAAGAGGCAAAGGAGAATGTTTTTCAAAATGTACTTGTTATATGTGATTTTGACCTTGTGTTCACATTTGTCTGGGCAGGTTGGGAAGGGATAGCACATGACTCAAGAGTTCTAAAAGAAACTATGAGTGATCTAGCTAATAATTTCTCAATTCTTTCTCCAGGTTAGATGAAAATATTTAAATAATGTTACAAAATATTTATGTAGATAATTTATTTTATATTATTCGTGCAGATAAATACTTTTTATGCGATGCGCATATACACATACATGTGGATTTATGTCACCCTATCGTAATATGCGATATTGATTGTCTGATTTTCAAAATCTTCGTCCAAGAACAAAAGAAGAGTTATTCAACAAAACACATGCTAAGTTAAGAAATGTGATTAAACGTGCTTTTGGAGTATTGAACATGCTAAGTTAAGATGTGATCATAGTCTTTTACTGTACAAATGAATATCGTAATTACTTGTATAAAAATACACAATTTTATCCAACGAACCCGTATCACATATGCTTTTTTGGACCAGATTAGTGATGTCAATGCTATTTATGACAATCCCCATAAAAAATTNATATAGAAGGCAATCGTATTTTGAATGAGATGCAGCTTTTTGAAATGAGTGATCCATTGTATTCTGTTGCGTGTAATATTTTTTGTGAGAGTAAAGCACATAGGGAGCAATGAATGTTATTACGTCAAAAACCAAAAGTAGTTAGAAAGATGTGGATAGAAATGAATGGCAAAAAACTAAAGTTGCTTTGAATTTTAGGAATTACTAGAAGTTATGAGTATTATTTTTATATGAAGAATTTATGACTATTTTGAATGTGAAAGATTGTTTAAATTTATTTGTTTTATAATTTTTGCTTAAGTATGTTATTGTTGAAATTATCTGTAGTGGTTTTTGAATGTTAATTATTTTGGAAGTTGACATACATAGTTAAATTGTCTTATATTAGACTAATTAGATTTTATTAATATTGTCCAACAACATGTTGGCTGAAAAACAGAAGCATACATTGAAGGTTGTTGTAACTTCTTTGATATTCAAAATATTGAGGAAACAATGTGTTGCACGGAGGCCAAACATTGATGGTTTGCTTCATGGGTCTGGATATTTAAATGAAATACTTGATAAAAATTCAAGTCATTGTCGAGAGATGTTAAGGATGAAAAAAAAATCTTTTATAAGTTTATGTGGTCATTTTCGAAATAAATGGTGGCTTGAAGATAGTCGTTACGTATCCATAGAAGAGAAGATGACAATGTTTCTCATAACATTAAAGTCATAACATATAAAATCGTTTTGTGAAACGAAGATTTAATCATTCAACACAAACAATAAATAAATACTTCCATGAAGTATTATATGCGATGCTCCATTTTTCAAAATAGATGATAGTCTCAACAACTACGAATTTAGTTAATCACATAAGTCATCATCGTCGACTTAGAAGAATATTTAAGGTATTTTTTGTTTTATTTTAACTTCATAGGATATATAATGATTTACAGCTTCTTAAAATTCTAACATTTATACTAACATATTTATTTTTGAAAGGGTGCGGTGGGTGCACTTGATGGAACTCTTATTTCTGTTGTTATACCATCGGACAAACAAGTTTCATACATAGGAAGAGGCAAAGGAGAATGTTTTTCAAAATGTACTTGTTATATGTGATTTTGACCTTGTGTTCACATTTGTCTGGGCAGGTTGGGAAGGGATAGCACATGACTCAAGAGTTCTAAAAGAAACTATGAGTGATCTAGCTAATAATTTCTCAATTCTTTCTCCAGGTTAGATGAAAATATTTAAATAATGTTACAAAATATTTATGTAGATAATTTATTTTATATTATTCGTGCAGATAAATACTTTTTATGCGATGCGCATATACACATACATGTGGATTTATGTCACCCTATCGTAATATGCGATATTGATTGTCTGATTTTCAAAATCTTCGTCCAAGAACAAAAGAAGAGTTATTCAACAAAACACATGCTAAGTTAAGAAATGTGATTAAACGTGCTTTTGGAGTATTGAACATGCTAAGTTAAGATGTGATCATAGTCTTTTACTGTACAAATGAATATCGTAATTACTTGTATAAAAATACACAATTTTATCCAACGAACCCGTATCACATATGCTTTTTTGGACCAGATTAGTGATGTCAATGCTATTTATGACAATCCCCATAAAAAATTGCATACTTTAACTAGCTTGGAAGCTGGAGGAGGAAGGACACAAATGGATCAAATTTTTATGCTCAATTTTACGTGAACAAATTGCTCAACAACTAAACTCTTCATTTGTACCCTAATTATAATTTTCAAAATTTATGACAATTGGTAGTTATAAGTGATTAATTTAATTTAAATTAATTTTATTATCATGTTTTTTAAATGTAGACTACAATATGATAATAGTGATTATGATTTATGTAATGAATTAAATTGATTTGATATATTGTCATTTTTTATTAGATAAACTTATATTTTATAAATATTTTTCAATTATAGAGTGGAAGGATAAAACTGAAAATTAATTTATTTTCAGACTTCAGCTCTGTGTAGTTATTAAACAGTTTGATTTAATTCAGTACTTAAATTTCAGTAGATACTAAACAGTTCACAAATTCAACTTTCAGTTTTCAGACTTCAACTTTCAGTTTTAACAAACATAACCTCATTTGGGCTCTAAATTTGATCCCAAAATTTGGTCAGTCTAATATTACTGAAATTAAAAATAAGTTAAATTGGAGGCAATCTATATCCAATAGAATTCGAGCCATCATATATTTTATTTCTTTGCAAAGGACAAGACTTCATTACGCGAGGGCTCAAGAGTTTAATTAGACCTATCAATCTAATTGGGTGAGGCAAGTTCATATTAGTTAGATCTTAGCAAATTTATGTTAAAAAATATTTCATCTATACACAATTATTTTATTAATTAATATCTAATGAATCGTTTCATAAGATTATATTAAATTTGTATTATATATAAAACACGTTTAATGAGTATATAAATAAGTCGTACCGTGTATCTTTTTTTACAAGTTTTATTCTTATATGATTCGTTTATTAAATATTTCATGTTAGATCTATTCGATTACAAAATAGGTTGTTTAAGAAATCCACGAACCCTTCAATTCTATATTATATTTATGTCGTATTAATATGTTGTGTCATATTTTTATACTCTTAAATCTTAATTCTCAAACTTATGGTGTTGAATCGATGTATATTGGGCTGTAAACGGGCCACTGTATTCAAAGTTAGTAGTCTCGTGTATTGCCAATCTAGTCCATTGTTTTTGAGTTATTTGCCAAATTTACACCAAATTCTACCTTTTGTGGTTTGTCTACTTCATTATCATCAATTGCGGATCAATGGGTCTCAAATACTGGTCTGAAAAGGCCAAATCGGGCCTGACGAACCAATCCGGTCATCCCCGGGAGACACTGTTTAACAAAAGCTCTGACAATGCGAGATGGGTAATGGGTAGATTGAACCGATTACGAGATGGGTTAAATTAAATTAAATTCAAAGTAAGTTTAATTTATTTTCAATTCCCGTATTAAATAAGTTATAACGGATTTAGTTAAATCTATTAACTTATAAAATAATTAAAACTCTTAATAGACACACTCTTTTATATCAAAATATACATATTAGTACACTAAAATACACAAACTATTATACAAACACATACATACTATTACAACAAAATAAACACATTATTCCACCAAAATATATAAACACTATTACACCAAAATACACACTCTATTGCACCAAAACGCACACACATTTAAAACAAAACACACAGAGGCTATATGGTGCACGGCTAGGGGTGGTAATTTTTGACACAACACGATAGCCCGATACAAAACACGATACAAATAAATGGGTTTGAGTTGACTAATTTTTTGTGTAACCCGTGTATGACACTACCTGTCAACAAGAATTGCTAATGAGTCGTGTTCGGGTTCAACCCGTTTAACATGAATTGACTCGTTAACACGAAAATTTTTAACTCGAAGGAGATTGACTTAATTTTTTCGTTGCATGTATGAGTTTTCATGTTTTGATGACTTGTTTTTTCCATTACTTCTGATGTTTAATTTGGTTGTGTGATATACGATTAACGTATTTAATTAGTATTATAGAAATTAAATATTAATTATTTGTAAGTGTTTATCTGACATAATTATTGCATAATAAAGATATTATTACTCATTATTATTATGATTATTAAGTTAATTTTTAGTTTGTAAAAAAAATGAGAGATTCAATTAAGTGAAAATAAAATTTTAGCATTAAATTTTTTATTTAAAGTTTATATGAGTTAACACGAATATGAACACGACACAAAAATAAACAGATTAACTCGACACGACACGAATAGTTAAATAGGTTGGATATGAGTTAACTAATATTCGACACGACACGATTGCCACCCGGCCCGTATACTGCATTGCCATGATAAAACATTGTTTACCGGTGGATTTTTACGCTTTCAGAGGCGAAGTGTTAACGGAAAACATAAGCTGAAGCCCATGCACCAATGAATCACATGGCTTGGGATCTAATATCCATGTTCCTGACTTGGCCGTGGTGGCCCATGCACCGATGAATCATACGGCACCTGAGGAAAGAGAATGCCTACCTTTCGTATGAGTATTAATACCTGCTTATTCTGCCAATTTAACCCCTTGTGCATATGATTCTTTGGACCTACTAGGCAATGTGTTGATATAGATACAAGTAAACACTCACAAACCTTTGATATGAATATGCAACCCAATAAAGGACGCAGGGAACATACACTGGACTGCATTACATTTTCAAATTGGAGATACTTGCTCAGTTTCATCTGTCTTTGAGTCCATACAGATCACAGTAATCAATAAGCAACAGGAACACAAATGCCGTTCCCAGTATACCCACCACAACAGGGGCCAAAATTTTCAGATTTAGAAATATCCACGAAAGTTTTTACAAAAGAAAAATTGTCCAGCAGGGAAGAGAACCCCAAAAAAACATGGAGGAGATCTAAGAGTTCTATTCTTTTGGATCCATAATTTATCGTCTAGAAAAACCGAGATGCTTTTTTGGAAGTTGCTTTAATGAAACCAAATTTTAGATGTTTATTGTGGATTTGACAGAAGAACAGGGGGATACATGCAAATGGCGAGAGTAAACTAATTTTTGAGTTTACCGCAGCGGCTGCTGGTTGTAGTGGTTCTTCTCTTTTTTCTTTGCCGCGGCTAGCTTTGCATTCCTTGCAGCAGCCTCACTAGCAGCAGCTCTGGCGGCAGCATCCATCTCCTTGCTTGATTTTTTCTTCTTCATGGATGCTACTTTCTTTATCTTTTCTTTCACATCAACAACGGATATGCCTTCGACCTTCTCAGCCTCAGCAGTTTCATCAGTTACATTTCCAGCCTCGGTGACATTGAGCTGATCCAGGTGGTCTTTAGCCTCCTTTGAAGGCTTATCCTTCTTTTTCTTCTTTTTTGCACTTTTGCTCTCCCCAGCACCATTAATCTCCTTTTCCACCTCTCCCTTGGGATTCTCTACCTTCTTCTCTTCTGCAATGCCTGAGAGAGAGAGAGAGAAAGAGAGAGAGGGGAGGAGAGGATGAAGTAATATTCGTGTTAGAAAAGTTAAAAAGCATCTAAACCAATTCAAATTAAGAAAGGTGCACAACCAAAATATAAACGCTAAACAAAGGCTCAAGGCAAGCATAAATCCCCCAACAGAAATAACAATCAATACCGGAATTGACGTTAATAAGAGCAGAAAACTTATGTTCCTATAAAGAAATTAAGTCAGAAGATTTTTGCTCGCTATATGGCAGAGAGTGAATTTATAAATTAGGCACCCATTGTGAGGGTGTAAGACCATCTCCAATGAAAAACACAAATTTGAGTAAAAAAAAAAAGTAAAAAGCTTAATTTAGTAACCTCTCCAATAAAGAAACTCATATTTAAAGGAAAAGAAACCCAAATTTAAATGAAGATAAACCTAATTTTTAAAAATGATAAATATGACCATTAGATCTTTAAAGGAGGGTAGAATCTCACAATTAAATATTTGGGTATGGATTTGAGTAAAAAAATGAGTCTCCTTTGATTTGATATGGGTATGGGTCAACATTGGAGAAGGTTTTTTGGAGTTTTTTATCCAAATTTAAATTTGAGTTTAAAAGAGGGTAAAAATTAAAGATGCTCTAAGAGAGAAAAAAGAAAGTAATTGAGGCCCCACATACAAACAAAAAGTGACAGCAACCAGTACAAATGGAAACAAAGACCTTCCAGGGAAAAGGATAAATTGAAACAAGGATGGAATTCAAGACTCAATTATTACATAAAATTAGATCAAGTAACACACAACCCAAGAAAAAAAGTTGGTCATGCATTGACAATGTTACGCGGCTACACAGAAAAACGTAACAGTTTTGAATGTGCATGTTAGTGAGAATTTCTTTTCTTCGGTGTTGGGGTGATACTCATTTCTTGGTTTGTGGGTGATAGATAATGCAATGAATTACCGTTGGAATTAACACAGGGTTTCAAAAAAGAATTACCACAGGAATCTTCTTGGCCACTCGCCTCGGATTTGGCATATCCCAATTCAGCAAGCATAGCATCAAGTTCTGCGAGCTCCTTTTTCTTCAATTCTTTCTTTGAAAGCTGTCTTTCTGACTCCTTAGGTGCAGGAACTTCAGCAGGCTTCTTAACAACTGGCTCTATTTCTACAGGCACTTCAGGCTCATGGTCATGTTCTTCCTCATTATCATCATCAGCTTCATCTAGACCTTCTTCCTCACTTTCGCTTTCCTGGAATGCCCAAGATAGAAGTTTAAATCAATCTACAGTCTATCATTTTTAGGAAAACAACTGACAAATACGAATCATCAATCAAATCTAATGAAAGCTCAAAGAAAATGAAACAGTTTAAACTATGATCAGGCGAAGATATCCTGGAGACCAGTTCATCTCTAGTTGAATGTAAACAATCTGATAGGCAAACAATAAAAGATATAACAAAAATATTATCAGTAGCATATAAAAGGAAAATAGGGGGGAGCAATGAAAGCACATCTGACATCTCATGAAGTTATTTTGCAAGATCGACATTAAGAAAACAGATTTTTTCAATAAAATCAACTTACTTCACCTTGTTTGGGCATTGATTTTTTGGTAACAACATCATTACAAGAGAAATACATGAATGACCATGTAGAAAAAATAACAGAGAACCTTCACCCAAAAAACACAACAAAAAATGTCACAATGACAAAAAAGTAAAAACTCAACATATTGGGCCACCTCTCAACAACAACTAAAAAAGCGAGGCTTAACGCATGAGGCTCCCGCCACTGTGGGCAGATGTACATAGCCTCACCTCCGCATACGGAGAGGTTATTTCTACGACTTGAACCATTGATGCTCAGGTCACAATAAAGCAACTTTAGTGCTGCACAAGACTCACCCACAACAACTTCTTAGGGACAAAAGTGGCCTCCAAAAGATTCAAAGGTGCCTAGCCCTCTTTGAGCCATGATAACAACATCTTCTTGCTCAACAAAGGAATTCCTACCCCCCAACCCCCAAAAAAAAACCAAAGAAAACAAAACCACCACAAAAATAAAGGAAATAGAAGGAAAAAAATCCAATTACTATTTGCTGCAAGAGGTAGAAGTTAAATCTTTTTTGTATAGCTATACAAATAATCAATCAATTAAACCACCCCAAGACTTTTGGACTCATTATATGCTTTGCATACTTAGCTAGTAAAAGGTAAACCCCAAATCAAGCAAGTAATCTTTCCCCTTATAAGTTGCCATCATCAACCCACTTAATAAATTGACAGGGATTGTGTATTATTAACTGATATCAATAAGCAGCATGAGGTCATCCATGTCCACATTCATTTCAATAATAGATGCAACCAAGACAAAAGAATGTAGGAAAAGGTGAAGTCATGAAGATACTGGTCATAACTAATAATAACAGCGGAAAAACATTATAACATTCGAAAAGAATGATCATGCTTGAAAAAGAAAACAAAATTGAATATTTGATACATGGACAAGGCCGCCAACAGAACAATTAATAAGACACGTGCACTGAAAAAAAAGTAATACCGACCTTGTAATGAAAAAAATCATAAAAGGTCTCTTAATTGCTGCAGCACAATTGGAATGAGACAAAAACATCTTCAAAGCCCAAACTTAGAAAACAAATATGATCTTATTAAGTTGTTGCTCAATTCGGATCTCAAGCTCGATTCCAAAAAGACAACAAAAAATAACACTTTCCTCTGAAACAATAAGTTACCAAACTGATAGACAGTAATAAGGGAAAGATTCATCGTCAATCATTGCAGCACTCATGTCCTATACACTATTCCCCTCCAAGGAAAAAGCAAAAAGTTTAGACAGACAGCACATGGAAGTCTACAAGCATGCTGCATTGACATTTGTCAACAGCATATTATCATCAAAGGAGACGACAAAAAAACCGTTTACTGTATTTCTTATCGTATCCTCGAATTCCAATCATCTACAACCATCAACCATCCTTTCTAAAAGGATGAATGGATAAACAATAATGTGCACTTATTAGTATGATGCTCGATTGACATATTCAGATATCACACCAAAGAATCACTGAAATATCCTTTTACCATGAACAAACACAAGCACATAATTCTAAAAATTTTATATAAGTCACAGTATCAACAGGTCCAATCAACACAAGCATTCAGAATCATCTTGGAAGACTAGATAAACCCATATCAGCGCAAACAATTCTGTAGTATAACCATATCATTGAAATAATTAAATTTCATTAAAAAAACTACTGCAAATGCGGGTTAGCCAGCTTCAAACCTCTACAGGAGTATCGCTCTCTTTTGCCTTCTGTTGCTGATCCACATCGGCACCGGCCCAAACAGAATGAGGCGGAGCCGTAGTAGCATAATAGTCATCCTCATCCTCATCGTCAACATCAGCCCACGATTTCACCGTCAGCGGCGTCGGAGCCCAGAAAACCTGCGGCGCCTCTCCCTCCTTCTCTTGCTGCTTCGAAGAAGAGCTTGAGTTTTTATCCTTCGAAGAGCCTTCTTTTTCCGACTTCTTCTTCTTTCTCAGGGTTCCGAGAGCCGCAAAAACGTTAGTGCTGTTAATCACCGATGGCTCATTCTTCCGGTTACCACCTCCAACCATTCTCAGCAGTCGATTTCAAAGCCACAGAAATTTTCAACAACTCACAATTTCGAGGACACTTATATGTATATATGTATATACAGACACGGAATTGTAAGCAAAAATTGAATTTTATCTAGAATTGTGGGGCTTTTGATGAAGATCGCAAAGATCAAAGGTTGAATCTATGGAAAACTTGATAGTGATGAAGAAAAAGAAAAGAAGTAAAATTCACCGGAGATAGATAAGTTTTTGAGTAACTTGAAAGACAAAACTGAGATTCGGTTGAGATAAAAGATTTTGGGGAGGGTAAGATTGAGACAAAACAAAGCTATAATTTTCTTGGGAAAATGAGCAACTGATTGTTTCTCGGGAAAATGAGCAAGAAGAAACAGAGAGACAGATTCTACAGATGAAAGAAAAATTTACATAAAATCAAGAATTTGTTTGGATGGAGGAGCAGCGAGTGATCGGATTGAGAGGGTAATATGAAGGGTGATTTTCTCGGGAAAATGGCGAGGTGTGATGATTTACTTGGGAAAATTGATAGGGAATAGGACAGGTGATCGAGGAGAACAAGAGAGTGAAAGAAGGGTTTTCAGATTTGTTAACGGCTTTATAATGTAGAGAGATGTGTGGGTGGTCTTTGTTTTAGGGTTTGGATGAGCTGAGATGGAGGTGGTTCTTTTAAGGGCACGCTGGTAATCTGATTGATCAAATACCGATAGGAAATCGATTCAAAATTAATTAAATTTGAGATTAATTTTAGCGAATTCGAATAATAAATAAATAAATAAATTATTTCATCCTATGAGCTAATTGAATAATAATTAATATTGATTCAGTTCAATACAAAACAAGTCTAACTAAATGTTGTTCATGCATTACCAAAACTCGAAATAATATAAACTTTGTTTATACCCGATTATTATTATAAGTAAGTCGAGTATATATCGTAAGAAATTTTACATGGCATAATTTTTATTACTTAAAAACTCATTCTAATTTCTTGGATTTATGGCTCATAATAGAGTCGTGTTTTACGTGTTCAAGCTAAGTTTATCGAGCTTGACCCGAGTTTATCAAACTTTTTTTTTAAGTGAGTCTAAAAAATTATTCAAACTCGATTCGTTTAAAAAATGAGTTGAATTCAAGTCGAGTTCAAAACGAGTTGAACCCGAGCCTAAAAAATTTGCTGAACTCGAGGTGAATCTTATACAAGTCAAACTCGAGCTGAACCCAAGTAATTCGGCTCGATTATAAACCTTAATTGGACCCAACATGTGTGTTAGTGTGTGATAGTTCTTTTTAAAGATTATCATTTCCAATCTTAACTCGAATTTTTTTTAAAAAAATTCAAATTTAAAGAGACAAAACCCAAATTTAACATATTGTGAAATATAATCCTTGGATTTTTTTTAAAAAAATTATCAATTTAATTAAAATTTTAAATCTCCTTTTTATATCACTTTTAAAAGAAGGACTTGAGTTTGTTTTTATTCAAATTTAAATTTGAATTAATATTTGAATAAGAACAATGTTATTGAGACTTAATTCACTATAGTCTTTGGATTAACTGTGGGCTCCATTTAATATTAGAATTTTATGTTGGTTCAATAATTTTACTTTAGGCTGTCAATCGTATCAGGTCTTAACGAATTTTTGTTAAAAAACACTCTACTTATATATCAGATTCGTTTATTAATTCTTATATAATGAGTCGTGTTATATCAGATCTGTGTCGTGTATAAACTGTGTATAATCGATTTATAAATGAGTTGTGTCGTATATTTTTTTTAATTGGTTTTACTCATACCCGATTCGTTTATTAATCATGTCGTGTCGAGTTCATTCCTTTACCAAATAGATGATTTAAAGAAGACCTAAACCCTATAATTTTTTGTTCGTTTCGTGTTAACGAGTCGTATCTTTTATTGACACCACTAATTTTACTAAAATGATATTATTAAATTAACAAATTAATTCAAAATTTTAAATCTAAATAACATACTAACTAAGCAGCAGACAGCAGATGCTCTTAACAAAGAGCTAAAATAAGCCAACATTGGAGGCTAAAAGAGGTGCATCAGGTTAGGGTGTGAATTAGCTTTATTATATGCTATTTTGTGGCCCAACATGATGCACTTTGATTGCAAGTCAAGTCCTTTAAAATCTTCCATCCTTAACGGCGTCGCGTCGTATCAACCTCAAAGCATTAATAATTGACCCCTACGCAACAAAATTGACCGTGCTAAATCATCCAATCCTAACGTGGCCGTATGGTAAATATTGAAAACATTTGGACATGTTTCAGGAAATATACTCATGCAACAAACACGATTTTTCATGAAGAAAAAATGCTATATAATTCAAAAAAAATTAAAAAGTTGAAAGGTAGGGTTATTCCCACCGCCACAATATCTATTCCCAACTCATTTAATTTATCATTATTAAACTATTAAGCACACATCTTCTATCTTCTATCTTCAACTTATTAGTAATTAATTTCACCTCATACTATATATATCTCATTAATAGTTAAATTCACTCATTATATGTACAACCCTTTAATAAAAGAAGTTGTCATAAGAAAAAAATAATGAAAGAAGACAATTAGTTTGAATACATAAATATATTTATGAAATAAGAAAAAAAAAAGAACCAAGAAAAATTGAAATAAGAAAAAAAAAACAACGAAAAAAGAAATAAGGAAAAAAAACAAGTAAAGAAAAAAACGAAACAAGAAAAAATAGAAAGAAAGAAATAAACCAAACAAGAATGAAAAAAAAACAAATAAAGATTAAAGGAACAAGCAAAACTATAAGACGCAAAACCAAATATGAAAAAAAAATAAGGATCAAAACACAGACACAAAATCGAACAAGAAAAAAAACAAATATAGATACAAAACCTTAACAAGATAAAAAAGAATAAATAATCTATATATATATATACTCTCACACACACATATATAAATTCTAAATAAAAAATTATTAAACCTGACAGAGATATTAAAACATACCAAAAATAATGAAAATCTATATAACAAACATAAAATCAAACATAGAATTAAATTAAAAAGTAATACGAATTTGTATCTCACTGAAAAAATTCATATTAAAAAAGTATTTTTGTGAGTGCTTGAGATGAGATAGAGAATGAAACTCTAATTATGAAAAAATATAAAGTGAGTTTACTTATAACATGTGGTGGACTTAGTTACAAATGAGATGAGTATAGAAGGGATGAGTTTATTAGTTTAATAATGAGAAATTAAATGAGGTAAAAATAAAGATTTGTGGGGTAGGAATAGCCCCACCCAAAGTTGGAACACAAATGCATATCATCTCTTAAATAAGTGTTGGGTGAATGGATTCCACCGAAAAAGTTGATGAGACTCACTCATCTAAAGAATGATATATATTTAAATTACAATTTTTTGAATTTCATTTAAATTTTGCAGCATTGCTTTTTTATGAATTTTAGAGAACAAATATGTATCATGGGTTATGTTTTATGTTATATGATTAAATTTTAATAAACTCGCAATTGACATAATCAACTCCTTGTGTTAAAATCTTACGTCAAAACATTCTAACTAGAGATGACAGTGGATCAAAATCCATTCCGTTTAGACGGTAGACATGTACAAAGATATTTGTATAAATTTGTGTGGGGATGGAGGTGATAATGAACTAAAACTTATCGCGTCCCGCTACATCCGTTATATATATATAAAATAAGTGGTAATATACATAACCAAATATATATTACTTAGGATCGTTAATATAATCAACGAAAACTTTTATTTAATACAAAATAGATATTTACAAAGTTTTCTTACAGAGGAAATAGAGAGAACTTGAAGAAGATGAAAGAAAATTCACAAGAGAGGAAGGTGGAGAGAGTCTAAAAGAAGAGAGAAGTGGTAGGAGAAAGGTGTATCCAACATGCTAGACCTGTACCTCTATATATAAAGATCTGACATAAAATCCGGATTTCAAAACAAAAAAAAACGTTTACTATTTACAACTTTAAGTCTATTTATTGACGTTATTAGGTGTGTCATCATCACTGTTTGTGACGTCATAACTTACGTCACTTATCTCAATAATTTCCTGGTGATGTCATGGCTTGCGTCACTCCTTAAAGTCGGCTTTATCCGATTATCTGTAGATCAAATCATAAAATTTAGTATTATTGTTGTCTTGGAGATTTATCTCCATATGTTCATTTGGAGGAGTATAACCTTTACCAGGAGTATATCCTAAGATCTTGCAACGAATATTCATTTTCTTTAATTATCGTAGTCTCGGATCTATTAAGGACTTCTTTTAAAGAATAGAGGAGTATAACCTTTCATGGGGGTATATCCCTAAGATTTTGAGGAGTATAACTTTTAATAGGGGTATATCCCTAAGATCTTGCGACGAAGATTCATTTTCTTTAATTTTCATAGTCTCGAATCTATTAAGGACTTATTTTAAAGAATAGTGTTGAGACAGAGAAGGTTTCCACTCTTCTGAAGTTATTTTCAAATATTGCTCAATAACTTTTATTTTAGATACTAGATCTTGAATTTGATTTATAAGATCAATAATTAATGTTTGTGACTTAGTCAAAGTATTAATGTTTAATCCATTCATATCAAGAATAGCTTTAAGCTACCATTACTTGACTCTGATATCAAGAAGACTCCCCTTCTTCACTTTCTGAATTTAGAACTATCTTTAAAATCTTATCTTTAAGATCTTCATCAAGTATTTATGTTTAATCCATTCACATCAAGAATAACTTTAAGCTACCATTACTTGACTCTAATACCAAGAAGACTTCCCTTCTTCACTTTTTGAATGTAGAACTATTTTAAAATCTTATCTTTAAGATCTTCATCGAGTATTAATTCATTTATTTTTTGTTTAGTTAGACATTTAGAAGCAATATATCTTAATTTTCCACACTTTTAACAAGCTTTTTACCCTTTGCTTTAGGTTTTTAAGTGGGTTTATTAGTTTTATCCTTTTCATAATTCACTTTATGGAATTTTCTACTTTTCTTATATGGTTTTGAAATTTTTTTTATTTTAGTTGAAAATTTATTTCTTGGAATATCAAAATTATAAGCAAATTGATTACAAAATTCTCATAACTCTTTTTGACCAGTTAGTCTTTGTCTTTCAAGTTGAGTTTTGAGATTTAAATTATTACAGAGAACTAATTCTTTTGAAATGCATTCAGAAATTAATTCTCCATAAGTGTAGTTTTCATAAGAGATTTTAAATCCTCCATGTTTTTGTTCTTATTTTTTCAACAAATAATCTGAGTAAACCTGATATAAATTTTTCTTTCCAAAATTCATTATTAGCGTCTTTTCTTAGTAAGACTTTTGCCAAAAATATATTTTTATATCACCTAAAATGTGTTAAGGTGGGGCATATTGGATTCATTAAAAGTTATTTACTCTTATCTGTATTTTGTAAGCTTGTTTCTACAAAGTGTTTTATCTTTTCAAAAAGGTATGTTAAAATTATTCTTGTAATAAATCCAGAATTCACTGTTGAAACAATTGCATTAATAGACAGTGGAGCAAATATGAATTGCATTAAAGAGGAATTAATTCCTACAAAATATTTTGAGAAAATAACTCAGTTATTAAGCACGAATGATG